TTCATGTGCAAGGGCAGCAAACCCCCTACAGGAATTCTGAAACAGGCTACCCAGGCCCTCTAGTGGCAAGGCTTTTCAGTGCATTTCAGAGTTTCTGAAAAGGTGAAAGTAAAACACTCTTTTTCCACACTTTGTGCCATTCCACAGCACATTTCACACCGCCAGAAAGGTGGATGGCCAATGAAAGCATATGCTATAGCCTCTGTACACTTATAGCTATAAAGGAAATGTCGGCAGTGTTAATTCTTGGACGTTTTCTGTTGTGTTATCTCAGGGGTAGACAATCCAGGTCCTGGAAGGTAAGGTTGTGCTTACAGGATTTTTAGGTCTCTTTAAATCAGCAGCACCTGCAGAGCTGTGAGAAGTAGCTGAATTGGTCCCATTTAGTCAATAATGAGCTGTTAAGAGAAGAGAAGAAATCCTGCAGAAACACTGGCCCTCCTGGACCACGATCGCCTAATTAAACACAAGCATCCTCCTGTGACAGCATCCACCTACCGGAGACGGGACTCCAGTATTTGAATGCCAGATGGCACCTTAGCTAAGATGCCAAGCCCTGGTGTGTGTGTTTTCTCTGAGGTATGAGGTGGCTGTGGCACAGCTCGTGCAGCAGCCTGTGGGCCTGGAGCTGTGACCGTGTGCATGCTTCCTAGCGAACAGTACGGCAGTCAGACAGGAGCCAAACGTGAGCTCAGGAGAATCTGCCAACGAGCGCTTTAGGTTCCTCCTCCTCACATGGGTGTATTTTCATTGGAGGTCACACAACTCTCCAACCCCGGGCCCTGGGCATGGAGGCTGCACTCAGCTACAGTATGCTCACAGTGACAGTTTCCATCCTTCCTTCTCTCTGGAAAGTAAAACGGGCTGGGCAAGCTTCTCAATTCACTTCCTCTTTCCACTTCCCAAACCCCTCTGCGCCTCGGCCCTGCATGAATATGTATAGGGCCGCCGCTGTCATCCATCTGAAATCTCTTTATCGCCGCCAGGTCTCAATTGCTCTGTCTTAGCTTGGTTTATTGCCACCCTGGCCCTAGTCACCAGGCTCTCTGTCTTTTGCAGATTCTCATCATCACCAACACAAGCAAAAGCGCTTCATCACAGCTATTCTCTGCTTGTGTTTCATCTTCTGTTACGAGACTGCATCACTCCTGGAATTATATGGTTTTTCAAGCCCAAAATTTGCATGTTTCAGAACAAATCTAAAACCACACTTTCAGCTCCTGCCTTTTATTTTATCCCCTGAGCAGCAAAAAGCCATAAAATGCAGGATGCTCAAGACATAAAGGCAACCACACATACTGTTTTGGCACAAAACGTAGGATACTTAAGTAAACTGTACTTGTTTTTCAAAGGGACTGGGTTATAAGAGAATGTGTTGTAAAAAGAATACATATTTTGTAAATCCACACACACAAGAGCATGAGGACATACAGTAATATTTGCAAATGCGAGGCCGCTTGATATATTCAGCTTGTCTGGTTTTGATTCCAGGGCCTCGTCCTGCAATTTCTTGAGAGAGGATAGGGTATCAGCCCCTAGTGTCCTCTGGTTTGTGTTTCAATCTTGAACCTGAAGAAAGTCTACAGAAAATTTGAAATAGGATCCATAATTTCGATTTACTTCTTCCAGAGTCCAGATCATCCATTTAGAAACTACACCAGGGCTCCAGTCTTACTCCAGTGCAACAATATTGTTTTTGTGGATCAAAATCATTCTCAATATTCTATATGAGGTCTACAAGTATATTGAAACAACCTGAACATAGCATGCCTTGATTGATTATCTGAATTTTAATTGACCTGACATTCTGGTATGTTCTTTGACATTCTGACTTATTCTTACTTTATTTTTTTCCTGCAGTGTCTTTTTTATAGCTTAAAGCTTGGTGTTTTCCCTATAATACATTTACAGTTCATGCTTCTGCTACAGTACATGCAAGCTTTTTTTTAAATCTAAAAAAATCTCTTGGGAGGCTCTAAAAAATCTCCTGGGAGTTTGCTTAAATCAGAATGTTATAATCTGATATAATCACACTAATATCCCATAACTTTACGAAACATTTCTTGATCTTTCCATGTTTCATGCTATTAATAAGCATAGAGAAACAAGTTGTATTCTTCATCGTGAATGAAGATAACTCTAAAGCCCGTAATTGATGGAAAAAAGGCTGAGAAACACACAGTCTGTATCTGCCTCCTCCTTGCAGCAGCTCATTCAGCTTTAACAAGGCTTGGAGATGTCACTCATCCTCCCCCACTGCAATATATAGTCATGGGGAGAGGTCTGTTTGGCTTGGAGAGTCAAATGCTGAAGATGGGCTTATACTGCGCATCCAAAAGCAGCATGAAGAATAAGGCACAGTCTGCTGACAGAAAGATATCAGGAACACTGTCAGCTGGGCCTGTCCCTGAGCTCCAAACAAGGCGGTCTGGAATGTGATTATTCTGGGTTAGACTCCCTGGGTTATGCCAAAATAAAATCAATTCATAAATAACATTCTGAATTTTCAGGATAGCACGCTCTTTACAAGTAACCTTGATCTGCACAGCACTGTTTCTTATGATAACCATTACCATTGGTTTACTATTAAGGCTATACTACTGAAAAAAAGCAGTGCAATTGCATATCGATTTTAATGCCATGCCATATTACTACCACACCATATTGATGTGATTATGTGTATAGTAACATTTTCACTTGTTTAGTCTCGATGACTGGAAATGAACAGTACCTCTATCAATCAATCAGTGATTTACAATTACATATTGTTTATGGTACAACTTCTTAATACACCTTATAAAAAAAAAAAATTAAAGCATGGATGCTTTCATGGAAGAAAGTAAAATATGCATAAAAAAGAAGTTCTCACTGAGAAAGCATAAACAGATTGAAAGAAATCCGTGAAACAGGCTGACATTTCAACGACAAGGTTTTGTCACAGCAATTCTGTTTCTGTTGCTCTTTTGTTAGAGATAAAGGGAAAAATCTAGCTTTGTGAGCTCCTGCTCAGGATGCAGGCAACACTGCAGCTGTGTCTGTCAACCACACTGATCCCAGCTGCTGACTCAGGGCCCAGGGTTTCTGCAACAGCAGACACTGGGAGTAATCCAGATTATCGGCAGAGTCCTCCTACTTTTCCTGTGTGCTTACTTATCTAGTCTCCATCCGTCCCTGTTATGTGTGAATCCCACAAACCATAATTGCAGATTTAGCTGGCCTTTTGTTGACTTGCAGGCTGGAAGTACCCAGCTTTGCCTGTGATGTCTCCATTTACGATGTAAACCCTGCACATCAAAAGATCCTGAACATCTTTTTTTTACTGCTAGGCCCCCCAAAACCAAACTCACATTTAATTGCATTTAATTAAAAGTGTAAATGGAAAAACATAAAAAGGTCTGGCTTGGTTAAAATGAACCTAAAGATTAGATTGGTGTACTGATGTTAAGAGGAGAGAGAACTGCACATGCTCACAATATAAACTGCCGCAGTGCATCAGAGTTTTCTGAATCAGTCACCTACAGTACTTGCAATGGAACCTACTTCGAGTACAGTATAAACTAAAACATGCCGTCTCTCTCTTCCATTGGTCTTCAATTGCTTTTCAGTGATGGCTGTAAATATTCCAAAAATACTGAAACAAAAAAGAGTCAACTGTCACTTTAAAGCAATCAAGCCAAGCACAAAAGCCTGCACCACTTCTCTGGGGTTTCTAGTCAGTGGAAAAATTCTTCAGCCCAGCTGAGGAGGAACACAAGCAGAAAGAGAGAAGTCTACAGGGAGTCTAACAGCTAAGTGGATCATTTTTAATACCAAGGTCTCCACAACCCACTGAAGATTATCATGCAATTCGTCACGTGAAGTGAATCAATTTTCACTTCCTTTAAAGGGCTACTGATGTTCTGCAATACCATAAAGCTGTCTCTTTGATTTGTGGGGCCCTTCTTTCTAAACGCAGAGCGTCATCCACGTCTGCCATTTTTGATTTGGCTCGTTCTATTGCGATGGAATTATCGCTAATTGAAATTCCGGCGATGAGCGCCTCTCACTGCGCTTGATTTATGCCTGCAGAGCACATCTGAAGATAGTGCTGTATAAGCCTTTATCGTATCTCCAGAGCTGGGGTACATGCATGCATAGGTGTGTGCGTGTCAGTCTGTGTGCACACCGTGGCCAACCAAGCAGGTCTTGTCTGACGATACACACCTCTCCAATTTCTGGTACGAGCCCCTTCATGAAAGTCTGCAACCAGACAGCATGAGACATGTATCTGGGCTATTTCTATATGAATTATACACTCACTCATCTTGGATTTGCCAAATGTTTTAAGGCTTGGCACTCCAGGGGAGATTACGCTATGTAATCTGACTAGCTGCAAGGACAGAGGAGAACTGATGGGAGAGCTCATCGGTGCATAGCTGAGCCATGCCACTGCATGCCCGAAGATGTCTAAGAAGACCCAAGAGTGTATTTCAGCCAGAAAGTCAAGAACAGCCAGGCCACGTAATTCCAGCCCTGCCCTGACTACACTCCATCACCTGCTCCTCAGCTCCTGGGCAGTTCCAGCCTCACTCAGATACAGGCTCAAGCCAGAATGTTGTCTTTTCTAGGCATCACCCGGACCACTTACTGTAAGTAATTTGTGAGGGCTTACAACGTGACTAATAAGAGCAAGGATATATAACATAGTGGTTACATGATTTGACAGCCTAATGACCCAAGACATCAGCAATCCTCTCCCTTTGGCAGTGATGCTGAAGGAGTGTTCTTGAACCAAGGCCACAGCTAGATCAGAACTTTAGAAGCTGGACCAGTTGCACGGAGATACACAGAAAATACCACTGAATGAGAAGGGGTAGAAACCGGATAGGAACTACATGGCAGTTTGATTCATTTCACACTTTATGACCTGCAGGTTTTGCACAACTGGTGCTGATGAAGCAGAAAAGCAAATGTTTATTTTTTGTACATATATATTATTTTAATTCAATATCGTACTCTTCAGTCTACAGTGTAGGGAATGACTTAGATCACTACACATCAGCTTTTAAAGCTTATCCCTTCATTAACTTACAAAAAATATTAATATAGTACATAAATAATATCACAAAAATCTGCTGTAAAACAAGCTCGGAATGCATAAACAGCTGTCAAATTCAAGTGCTTTCATTACATTAAAAAGGAACAACAACCAGCCTGCAAAGTGTAATTAATGAGCTGAATATGGAGGAGAGAAATAATGTTCTGCAGTACTTTAAAGCTTTAAACAAACAATTTATCTCTCCTGCAAATCTTTTGTCTGATCATTACATTAACACTCTCGAGATATTAATCACACTTAGTCCCACCAAAAAACATCCAGTTTGTAATTAGCTGTTACTTCTAATTGACCCCTTCTGTAATCAAAATGACCCAGATTAATTAAATATTGTATGATTGTTTGATATCAGCCATGGGATCAGCACCTACCACCCACTCCCAACTACAGGAAAACATGGTAGCTGGTTACACTTGGAAAAATTATCAAATGTTATTCCCTGTCCCTAAAAGGGGACTAAACTGCATTTAAAGAGCAAACCAGGTCATTTTATTGTCTAGAATTTCAGACCAATAACATGTTGCTAACTCCGACACTGTGTGTCTAAAGCACTTTTATCAAAAAGATTGTCTCTATAATTTTGTAACTCCAGATTTATAGCCCTCAATGACAGGGTGTCTCTTGGGATTCCATTTACACATTGACTATTGCTGGCGGTCAGATTAGGTAGAAAAAATATAAATTTAAAATAAACGTTAGTATAGCCTGGGGATTCATCATTCATTCATCACTGAGGAGACCTGTGTTCTGGTACTGGTTGAACAGGAGTCTTGCAGGCAGGATGTGGGCTCTGTCAACCACACTGATGATGGTCAGTGAAGAAGGCTGAGTTCAGGAGCTGACAGTCATACCTGACTCCTCATTCTCTATTATCAAGGCAAAGCCAAGAATATCTTCATGCCTCCACAGTGTTTTAATGGCTTTCTTGCTTCTTTCAACACACAGAGATCCAGACAAGGGCTTATCATCTTGGCAAAAAAAAAAAAAGATTTATATATAACACTCAGTGTAGCAGTCTTTGTCCTTTTGTTTGCATTGTAATTTACTTCTTATAGAATTTGTCCATTTCCTATCACCAGTGCAGCTCAGTGGAAATGTACCGAGTAACACAGCAATTCAATATTCAGTTTGCACATTTTAATATTTGATATATCTTTAATATTGGATGGTAGCAAATTTAAATATTTAATGCATGCATTTTTTAAAATTCATTTGTGTTCCTACTGTACCTCCCACAGTGAAAGGGCCAGCCTTTCACTACAGATCGCCTCAGTGTGATTTATGGATTCAGTGTCACACAGAGCCGGTTTCTAAATATGTCAGAGGTCTGTGTAAACCTGCTATATGTGTCAGGAATGATGGCATCAGCACTACCACGAAATGCAATATGCACATTAAAGTCTGGTAAACCTTCATATTAATTTGGAACACCTGCTGAAAATGAAGGTATGCTATAGGTAAATTTTGAAAACCACTTTGGATGTCTTTGGAGTTTTCATCCATCAATATCGAGTGAAACATTTTCAACAAAGTCATTCCATTCTGGTCTTCAGGGGTCCAGACCGAGTCCAGCAGGTGGTATAATTCCCTGTAAATAAACACCATCTCCGGCCAAAGGAGAAAACAAAGTTCAATGGGTCCCATGAAGGCAACAGGGAGCCCAGGCAGGTAATGATGAGCTCGGGGCAGTTGAAATAGGAAGACCACTGAGGGCTGAAGACGAGGAGCTCTATTCTAAAAACCGGAGGGATATTTCTTATTTATGAGACCTGTCATTCAGAAAAAAAAATAGTATTCCTGCCACCTTCAGGATTTTTGTTTAATTAAAGTGAACATGTGGGGGAACCGGAATCCACAGCACCAAAAACAACAGTGACCTGTTCCAGCTCTGATCACTCTCAGCCAGTCAAGATGGATTGAGTCCAAGTAAAACCCGTTTCCGTAACTGCAAACACATCCACCTCACCACGAGGTAATCAATACCGTCCATCACTCTTTTTATTCCGTCAAACTGGAACTCACAGCCGCTGAGTGAAATCCGAGACCTCCAAGGTGATGAACTCCAGACACAGGGACTGCAGGACGCATTCCAAATGAGACAGCCGGGCCGCAGGAATAATCACAACGATAACCAAGGAGAAAGATGCAGACCCTCACCGATATCGAGTAATTTACAACATTTCCACTGCCCCCCAAAACTAGAACACTGAATTAAGCAGTCTATAAATAATAAAGCAACTTCATGGAAGTCTGATTAGAAATTCAAAGCAGAAATATCTGAAAAGTGAATTGATCGGCAGAAGACACTAAAGGACAGCTGGGTTTCCCTCAGGATGTCAGCAAGTTAACCCTTTCAGGGAGCTAGGAAAATGTTACTGTCCTACAAAGAACTTAATTAGAATGCTGTTCGTATGTGCTTCCCGTGCTAACACGGAGAGTCCTGAAAGTCTTAATCTGTACAATTCTGGTATCACAATGTTTAAAGTGAATGAAGCCTTTTAGTTGTTTGTTTTCACTTCGGTATCACCGGTTATCTTTTTATTTTGCACCATAATTCAAAATTGTTGACTGTCTGTCAACCTGATGATGACCCTTACACCAGCCGGGGACAGGTGAAGAGTAGAGACAGTGCCACTGTAAGGCCTACAGCACCCGTAGGACACTCTGAAACAACTGTGAAACCGGCAGCACTGAGAACACAAACGTGTGCCTGGCAAGACACTGGGCAGGACCAGCTGAATTATACCCAACCCAAGTGGCACGGTGATGCCACCTGGAGCATCCTGGCAGCACTGGGCTCAACCTGCACTTCAAACCTGTACCTTCTCTGTCTGACCCGCTTGCCAGACTCAGAACTGAGCCGATCTGAGAAAATTAAAGTGGCAAAAATAATAATTAACTTTTGAAAAAATAAACAAAAGGTGAGAAACAGCCCAACACAAGGACAGAGACTCAGGACACTTCACTAAGGAACACAGACTGATGTGTGCACACCTCAATACAGACAAGAAGCCGTCAACCAAACTCCAATCAACTGTCCCTACTTTCAATTAATGGAAGTGAAATGAAAACAACCGTGCTTTTAATCCAGCCTGGGAGTAATTACACTGCCCTAAGCTGCATGTCAAAGTCATTTGCATCTGTTTTAGTCTTATTAAAACGCCCTTAAATCCTATTATAGACATGCACAGTAACTCTCAGAACTGGAGACAGCTAATTCGTACGAGGAGACTGCTCGTTGATTTCACCTGCAAGCCCTGTGATTCATGCTCAGATGAGGGCCCTAGCTCATTTCAATCCTGGTGAGCCCCCGTGTCCATTGATCATTCCACAGCTCCCCTCTGCAGGGAAATAACCTGCACACTGAGCACGCTGAGCACTGCAGAAGCCTCACCTGATGCCCGGAGTCCTTTCTGCAGTGAATCCAGCTGTGTTCCTCTGGACCTAGAATGCACACACACAATGCCCCCACACTGTTCTGTAAATAATTCAGTCAGGTTCAGGTACATTACACACAAACATCAACTCCTCACCCTTCCAAACCAAAACCCCACAAACTCTTATAAGTAAATTGACAATATTCCAAGTACAGGGTATCATACTGTACGTTACTGATGGGGTAGCAATTGTTTCCCAATTATTTGGGAATCAAGTACAGAAAAGTTGTTTGAAGAATATGGTGGTGCTGTGACAAGCTATATCAGCATTTGGTACGACAAGAGCAAAAGCAATAGAGCATATACAGTAGTTCTCATTAGGACCTTTCGACCACTGCAAACACGACAGGCGACAATGAAGTGATAAATAAGTCTATATTGTACATGGTGTTGCGTCCACCGATCACCTTGGAATTTGCCACCAGCTCATCAAATCCATGTGTGGTCAGGAAATAGTGGAATCTGAGAAAAAAAGAGCAAACATTAATGCCGAGAAGCCCATTGACTGAGAGAGTGTCACATTTCCCTGTTCAGCTAGCCCACTCATAGCTGCAGACTGCAACACTGCAGGTAACATTCATGTCAGTTTCCAGACAATTTCAGCTATGAATAAGCAATAGGTTTAACAAGAAGGACAGCAGTTCTGAACTTCAGGTAGACATCTTGTGGCTAAATTCGCACTTCCAATGCTAAAATTATTATTTTTTAATCACTGCTATTCTAAACAGCTATTCAATAGCAATTTAAAAAGTAAAATTTAAGGGCAGGACCTGTCTCAGATCACCATGACTGTTTTACTTGACACAATTTTCGAAGGTAGCAAAGAAATGGCTATGAGTGACAGGTCCTTTTTTATGTCTGGTATGAACGGTTATCACTGGCATTTAATATTTAATAGAACGAAAACTGCACACTGCATTTGTACGGATTTTATGCTCAATATTGGAAAATGCAAGGATTGTCACAGTCCATTAGCTTCCCCTATCTGTTAGTGTTTCTTTCATGATCTTTGAGCAGTAGAAAAAAAAATTAAAGACAGATTCTGTCTGAAAAATAACAGCGGATTATGCAATTTCGGAGTACAAGGTTTAGGTTGTCGGTCACATCTCTGAGGCTGAAGAATATTCTCGCAGGTGGCTGAGAATTCCAATGAATGAGGCCCCTTGGGCAGAACATTCAATCTTCTTAAAGCTTCCATCTTAATCGCATTTTAATGCATTTTCCGTAACTGCCCAAACATAATAGCAATACCTTAAGTAATACAAAGGACTTTGTGCAATCTGGAGATCCCTCAGAGGACCTTTAATTGGAAACTAAAAACCTTTTCCTAAAACATTGTAAATCTTAATAATTTTGCAACAAAACCAAAAAACATTCTGCTAGCAGATTACCGATTTTCAACTGAATCTTTTCCAATTAATTCAAGTGCCGGTTATGGAGGCAGAAACCAAATTAAAAAGTAATTTTGGATTTTTTTTTATGGAGACCTGGATTGTTTGATTGATTTGTGAATTTCTCCTGTATGCACTGCTTTAGCTAAAACTAATCCAGCTTTGTGTATGATGTAATGGATTTCATATGTAAATAAATGCCATTGAGTGTTTTAATCTTCCTCTCACGCTGCCAGACTAAATAAGACTAAACGTCAAATGAACCGCAAAGCAAATCCATACTTTTTATGCTCACAAGGACATAAAAGCATAAGCTAATTAAAAACAGAAAACAAAATTAAGTGCATGTGTTCAAAAGAACCTTCTGCATGTATAGAATCATAATTGTCTTCAAATGCAGCCTCTAACCAAGTGGTACTGCAGATATGCACCTTCATTTTTGAACCCTAAAGCAATGCAGTTTTCAAAGTCCAGGTCTTCAAGCAGAGCAGCTCAGCTCCAGCGAACATTTATTGAACACATCTTTCAACAACTTAAACCCATATACTGTAGACTGCTTAGCTAAAACTATGCAGTAGTGTGTATCTGAAAGTCTGGAAAACATAAAGGGCTGCTATCACGATTGCCCACAGTATGGTGACTGTAATGATTTTTTAAAAACTTTTTTTACTCAAGACTTTCAAGAAGTATTTCATATTCTACTAAGAACCATCACGGCATTACAGAAGTCTTGCAGTCAAAGTCTGAGCCAAATATGAAAGGACGACAAGTCACACGAATCTATAACGTATCCACTGTCACTTTATACCTGGAGGAGTGTATGGTCAGCCACTGCAGAGCCAAAGAAGCTGATGTAGCAGGTCACTTGCTCCATCTGTCACTCTCAATACTTCGGTCAAGGAGAAGCATGATTCATGGAACAAGAATAGTGAATACTGTATAGATCAGATATATACTCTGTCTTCTCTTTATATACGAGAACACTAGCAATGAAACAGGCAATACATAGGGGATGTTGTTTTAAAGGGGGCAGGAAAAATGAGACACAGGCATACATATTTTCTTAGCCATAATCCAAATGTATTTGCTGTTAAGGATCAAAACAGGCAATGGCTACTGTATATCATGCTGCCTCGTTGGCTTCTGTGTTATGTAAACCTGGATTACATTTATGAGCATTGAGGTAACACTATGTAAGGATCTTTATTGCTGGCCTTGATGCCATTTATCATCGAGCTTTTAAGCGTCGCACTCAGTGAAGTATGTTTTATAAAACACGTTTTTTATGTCCTGAGCGCACAGCTGGAAAATGAAATGCAGAAAAGCAGCGCTGCTTCATAAACTGTTATGGTTTCAAAAAACTATAAATTTCACAGCCATTAAAATTATGAATCTGCACTACGTTTATCTCTATATAAATATCACTGCTGGTACTAGAATAGGTTTTACCGTAATGGTATTTGATGCCACAGCCCCCGAAGCTCAAGGGAAAGCATTCAGCGGTAATAGAAGAGGGCAGCTGCTTTACAAGCGATGAACTCAATTTAAGCTCGTCTTGCAATTTCAGGGGATTCTGATTTTCTCTGAAATCCGCTCATTCAGGGGTCTGTGTGAGCACAAGTCCTAATAACTCTGTTCGAGTCTGGATCTCTGCTTTAGATCCACATATCATTCAAAGCACTGCTAACTTCAAACATAAAGAAGAACATTCTATCCTTCCTCTTATTTACTTTCATCATTTTTCAGATTCAATCTTTGTAGTTTATGCCAACAAATCTGTTTTTTTTTTACTTTACTTTTGAATGATGCTATATATTGCAGGGAGTGAGTGTTCACGTTTCTGTATTGAAGGCTGATAAGAACTTTTTTTCAGGTTGCACTCAAGTGTCTACTGCCATCTCCCTTTTGCAGATCACACATGGGAAAGCAACAGAAACATGGTCAAGGGTCCCATTGTTAATGTGAAAACTAGGTTGCGAGTATAGAACCCAGAATCTCAGTAAAAGCACACTTTAAAGATTTCACTACCATTCAGTGATGTATACCGTATTTTAAAAATAGTCCAACCATATAAGGACTACAGACCCCCAAACACAATAGAACCATCTAGAGCAATTTCGATGTTAGCCTTTTGCACGAGTGTCTATGTCAGGCCTTCCACAATACACTAGATCAATTTAGCAGACACTTGAGCATTTGCGTCAGTGATGATTTGTGTTCACACCACTCCAAGGCTGTGCAACAGTGCTCATTGAGCACTTGAGTCTATTGTGGAGACAGTCCCCTAGAAAGTGTTGAAATCCACTGTGACAGGGGGCTGGCCTTTTGGCATAGAAGGATTCTCCGCTGTTCGGCTAAAGGCTATAGAGATGGAGCGTGAATCTAGACGGGGCATAAGTGGCACAGGACACAGCACTTTGTTTTGATATGACAGGGCCCTGTATTTAACAACAGGGGGTGATTTCTGTCTCTGAGGGAGTCTGTATCGGGACAGGTTCCCTGAACATCAGGCACTGCAGTTACCCCTCTGAGCTGTGATGA